TGGAAGGCACGGGGGAGGCCGGGGAGGCCGGCTCGCGTGGCACACACAGGCTACGAAGACTGGCGAGTGCAGCTGGGTGCGGCTGAGTGCCGTGTGGCCTCTCGAGCGCCACTCGCGAATCACAAGTCCGCTCTCCGCATCTGGGCTCCGAGATCTGGGGAGATGTGGTTCCGCTCTCTGCATCTAGGCCGCAGCTCCTCCGTCGACCAAACGCGCACGCTGGCGTCCGCGCCCGCCGAAACTGCAACCTGCGTCATGAATCCACCGCGGTCGGGGGCGATGTGGGGAGATGTGGGGAGAACGTGGGGAGAGTGGCGGAGGTATGCGGAGATGTGGGGAGATATGACGGAGACGTGCGAGCGAGAGAGGCCTGCGTCATGAATACACCGAGGCCGGGGCGGGAGGCCGGCCTTGCGCGGTGTCTTCAGAGCACCGCGTGAGCACGAGGGGGCACGGGCACAATGGCTACAGCGGAGTGCGACTCCTCTCGAGCGCTGGTTGGGAGGCTTGACGCCGCCGTCCGCTTCTAGAGACGGCAACCGCAGCGCGCGGGTGTAGGCGGACGCGGTGGACGGCGCCGTCGTGGCCCTTCATCTTGGACAGGGCCTTGCGCTGCGCGGTGTCGTACAGGCAGACGACGCCGTCGGCGCCGCCCGTCGCCACGAGCGGCTCGGAGCGGTGGCTGTCGACGCAGACAGAGCCCTGGCAAGGGCTCCAAAAAAGCAGAGTGTGTGTGTGGGGGGGGGGGGGGGGGGAAAAAGAACCCAGGGGGGGGGGGGGGGGGGGACCCCAAAACTGCAAGGGGGATCCCGGGGCTAAACCCCCCCAGTTAAAGGCCCCGGCCCCCCCTAAGGAGAAGGCCGAAAACGTGCAAAAACCCCCCCACATTTGGGGTCCATTTCGGGTCCATTTTGGGTCCATTTCGGGTCCCCCGGGGGGACCAGCCCCCCGAACTTGGGTTTTTTTTGGCCACATTTCGGGTAAAATTGGGCGGCCTTCCCCTGAAGGGCCCAGCTGGCCCCCTTCCAAAAAGCGGCAACCCTCCCCCCAAAAAGGGAGGAGGAGGCTTTGCCCAAAATTTTACCCCGAAACCAGGGTTTTCGGAAACCTGGCCAAACTAAACCCCAAATGCGGCCCAAA